ACCAACATCTGGTGAAAATTTCATGTCATTAGCACCTCTAGTAATATATTTACTGAGAAAAATGGTGACGTGTTCAATACTTATTTTACCCGCTGTAAATGAACAGATGATTCAGAGGCAGAGCTGAACGATGTATCATTTGAGCATCGTCATCTTAATATACGGGATGTAGGAGGCTAATTAAATCAACATCTTATCTAAACCATTAAGTCATTGCACTAAACGGTCGCGTGTTACAGCTTTTTTTGAAAGGGTTAAGGGGGCAGCCTTGTGTCAACAAAGCTAAAACTTTTATTCTGTTGTGAAACTTCTGGAACAACAATGGTAGCGTTTTTTTTTCTTAGAAATGTTGGTTAAAGCGGCAACACGGTAATAACATTAATCATCTTTTTTTTTCTTCAATATTGTGAAGCCCTACTCTGCAGAACCTGAAGAGGTAAATCAGTCACTAAACCAGGTGTTTTGGAGCAGAGAGATATGTTGAACGTTGGATTGGACACTCCTGTTCTGGAGCCTGAAGCACAAAAAAATATTAAAGTGTGTTAAAGTGTTAAAGCGACACTGACATCAAATTTTTGTAATAAATATGAATGTATTTTTGGAAAGATAACTTTTATAACATATTGTAAAAAATATATTTCACGCTTCTGAGATGAACAGTTGTAGAGATATTTGTGTGTGAATTAACAGGAAGTGATGTCAAATGGTAATGTCTGAAAGTGAACAGTGCTGCTAAAATGGCCGACAACACACACTGTAGAGAAGAATCTGTTTCTTTAGATTATTTTAATCTCTATCATAGAGTGATAAAGAAGAGTCAGAGTTCAAATAATATTGTTTCAATAAATTAAAACCAGGAAGTTTTCTTTCTCAAAGAGTTCCCCTTTGATGTCACTTCCTGTTTCACTTTAGCTGAGCCAAATTCAAAAGAAAATATACCAGTTATGTGACGTAACAGGTAAAATCATGTGTATTATTACAAGTTTCTTAAATTTAAATATATTTTCTTTGGCTTTTTTGTATTTCATGGAAATGCATGTCACAGGCACTTTAAAATATTAAAATAATCAATATTACGGCAACAACAAGGTATTTATCTGAGACGTGTAGCAGATATTTACTTTATTTCCTATAAAATAAGTTTGAATTTAAAAAAATCCATACTAACTGGTTGAGTTCTGCTACATGTAGGGTGATCCCCCCTTTAAATTAAAAAAACTTTTATCCTCGTCAGTAAATATAGACGTGTTCATTAAAGCAGAAAAGTCGCAGTGAAACACGTTTCAAATGAAAAATAAAGCCGGTGTGTTTCATTTACAGACAGTTCAGCTGTAAGAACTAAACTCTGCTTCTACGAGCAGACAGACACCGGACCTGCACGCCGTCGTTTCAGAACCGTGGTTCTCGTCTTACAGCCTGCTGGCGCCGGGCCCAGTCGGCGCTGAAGACGTGACGGGCTGGCGCCGGTCCAGGTGAAAGGTCAGATGACTCAGAGGATGAGGCGTGTTGTGTAACAGCTCGCCGTGTTTGTAAACACAGCTGTTTGAGAAGCTGTGGAACAGAGGAACGTGCACGCACTCACCCGCAGGTCTCCGTTGGCCAGGTGCGGGTTGTGATGTCCCGGGTACGTCCCGTAGACGGGCTCTTTGCAGTAGATCTTGATGACGCAGCGGTCTTGGACGTCCCGCGGGTCCTCCAGCTCGTAGAAGACGTTCCGGGTCTCGTCTTTGATCAGCAGAGCGGTGTTGGGAGATCTGAAGACAGATAACCATAAAACCAAGTGCTGCTTCGTGCGTCCACTGACAGGACGGGTTTAGACTGCGTCAGAAACCAGTAATGAGACGATCAAGTGGACGGGGTCTGATATGAATTCAGTCCAGCTGATAAAAAATGAACTGCAGCTTTCATCAGGACGTTTCACAGCAGATTATACAGATAATCCTAATTAAAATCTCCATGAATCAAATCATTTTCTGGCCTAATTGTTTGGAAAAATGAGAACCTTGTTACAAAATTTACCTTCTAATGATATTTTTAGCAGCTGGAGTTAAACTGATGGACTGTGGCGACAGATGGAGCTGAGGTTGTTTCATCTGGAAAATCAGTTCCTGCAGATCGTCTGTTACTGAGATGAAAATCCATTGAAACAAAAATCTTAGCTCCGCTGATGCTAAACAGCTAAAAATATAAGAGGAAGCTAAAGCTAATCGCTAATACGGTTGTTGCCACAATTAGTTTTGTATCACGTGTCTTTACACTTAAAATGCGTTGTGGTAAATATTCACACATCTTTTCACCAGAGGAATAACTTCACAATTAAAAACGTTACACGCAAATAAATAAAAAAACATTAATATTTAAGTTTAACTCCAGTTTCAATACATGTAGTTGCATTTTATTTAACATCTCATTGCAGCATAAATTTCATTAGCTAATTTGCTAAAGTTGCATTTAAATCCAAACCAGAGTTATAGCTCTGAGTAACTTCCAGTTTACCTGTCAGAATAAAAGCATTTCTTCGAGTTTGTATTTTGAATAATGCTGTCTTAAGTTAAACAACAAATAACACTTTCTCTACCACATTTTAAATGTAGTCAATTTTATATTTGCTACTTAAATATTGTTAAATTTTATTTCTTCTTGATGCTCTTAGTTTGAAGTTTAGCTGCTAAAGACACTACATGCTACACACACGTCATGCACTGCTCCTACGAGGGGATAGTTTTTAATTTGTGATGAATGGCATAAAAATATAAGTTTTTTACACTTGTAATTTTCTAAAGTTATCAAAATATTTAATCTACTAAATGAGAAGCTAGTTCCGGTCTTAGCAGATTAGTGAAACTGTGCCCAGCACTGAAAATGTCTGAAAACGTTTCAGGTTCCATCAAGTCTCAGGCCTCATGATCTCACCGAGGTTAAATCTTCAGTTTCAGCTTCGATACTGACCTGTGAAGTCACTAATTGTATTTTTGTTTTTATTTCTTTTAAACTGAATCTGTAAGGTAATTAGGTGATGTCATCAGTCAGCAGCTTTCAGAACAGTCAGTAGCTACTTTCCTTACTGAAGAGTTAGCATGACCCATAATGGAACGTTCTGAATCCGTGTTTGAATTTATTGATTCGTTTGTCTCGTTTTTACCAGTTTTTATTTGCAGTTATCATATTTTTAATACTCGTGGGTCCCTGGCTGCTCCGCACTCTGATTGATTTCTGAAGCAGGCGGTAAATGAAGCGTAAACGCAGCCCCGCAGGGCGTCAAACAGCGTCTAAACAGATCGATAAGCATCTCCATGTGGTAATAACTCCTGTGAGCACAGCGGGCCTCACCTGAGCATGGCCATGGTGAGCCTCTGGGGGAACATGTGCACGATGAGCGCCCTCAGGGTGTCCAGGCTGGTCAGCTCGTGGGTCAGGTGCACCCGGCGGATCTCCTCCCCGAGCTGCAGGAACAAGATGCCTGCAGATATGGATGGAGAGATGATGATGGGGGAGAAACTAATTTGACCACAAAATACCAGGATTCTGTCATGAAAATCAAACTAATTAGTTTTTACTTCATGGCTGTCAGTAACAGCTGCCTTTAAAGGGTCTGTGACATCAAATTTTTGTAATAAACATAAATGCATTTTTGTAAAGATAACAGTGATAACATGTTGCAAAACAAATTTCACATCACTGAGATGAACGGTTGTTGAGATATTTGCATGTGAAGAAACAGGAAGTGATGTCATAGGGGCCAGAATGTAAACAGAGCGTTGTTACAAAACTAACAACACAGACTGTAGAGAAGAATCTCATCTTTGTTTACATTATTTTTAGTCGCTATCAAAGAGAGACAAAGAAAAGTTAGTTTAAATAATTTTGTTTTAATAAACAGAGACCAACAAGTTTATTTTATTAATGAGTTCCCCTTTGATGTCACTTCCTGTTTCACTTTGGCTGAGCCAAATTTAAAAGAAAATAGGCTGGTTATGTGACACAATGGATAAAATCATGTGTACTATGTCAATTTTCTTAAGTATAAAGATGCTTTCTTTGACTTTTTGTATTTGAAGGATAGGCGTGTCACAGGCTCTTTAAATAATCTTAATTTTGAGGAACTCAGACCTGGCGCCCGGAGCTTGGCCTGGCTGGACGAGCGGGCGAGCGGGAGGCTCTGGCGAAGCCGGTTCATCCGGTTGAATCCGATGGGCATGTCTGGCTCTGACATGGTCTCCAGGTTTTCTGCCGAGGCGAAAGAAACCCTGCTGGCCTGGTCAGCGAGAGCCGGCTGCGTCGGGCTGAGTCGAGTCACACGAGGCGTTCGAGTCTGAGACACAAAAATATAAACCTCAGTCCCAGAACTCGGAGACAAACTGTTCACCTCAGACAGCGGCTTCTAAAGAAAACGCAGCCGAATTAAGATAAAATTAGAGCGGAGCTGACAGTCGAGTAAATGAACCGAGTCAACTCAACATTACAAACAAAACAGCCTCATGACAGAACAAACCCTCAGAAACTAACAGAACGATGTTTGTAAATTAGCAGCAGAGAAAATAAATACAGGTGAAGATAAATCAATGTGTTTCAGAAAAACCCTCAAAGGTCATAGAGAAGATTTTTTAAATATCACTTAACATCAGTTGATGCAACAGAATTAGATAAAAAATGGGGGAAAAAACAGTAAGGTTCTGCAATAAAGCGGAATATATATATATATATATAT